GGAGGGAAGGTTTAAGTTGGACATCAGGAGGCGCTACTTCACGGTCAGGGCGGCTAGGGTCTGGAACCAGCTTCCAAGTGAGGTGGTGCAGGCTCCCACCCTGGGGGTTTTTAAGAGGAGGTTGGATGACCACTTTACTGGGGTCGTTTGACCCCAGTGCTCTTCCTGCCATGGCAGGGGGTCGGACTAGATGATCTGCTCAGGTCCCTTCCGACCCTAGAAACTATGAAACTAAGTATTTTGGGTTAAATAAAACATCAAGTAATCCAGTCCTTGTCACTACACTGTCAGGAAGATCACAATTTAAATAACCAATACATTGCCTTTATACTACCTTTTTATGCAGCCTTATTCCTTCTATAATACGGAGTCTACAGCTTCCATTGACACCTTATATCAATGGTTCTCGCCTTTTTTTTAGATTCAAGGTACCCCTCAGAAAATGCTGGCTCTTTTTTTTTTCCACTTTTTTCACTACATAAAAATAATGGAACAATTCTTCTGTTGCAGAGGACTCAGAAAGACCACAACAGGTCAGGAGATTTTTTAACACTTTGAAATCTCTGGGTTTATCTTGTGAATCGTGTTTGCACACCCAAAAGTGTAACATTGCATGGCACTGCAAAGCCCCCTTAGAGTTTTCCTATTTATATTATCAGTGCTACCCTCCAAAGGCTCCAATGTGCATCTTATTAAAGGGAAACATTAAACTTAACCAGGGCCAAGCAGAAAAAAGACCTGGCTTATTTGTTTGTTTCGCACGCAATTTTTCTACCAATACAATGAATATTTCCACTTAGTACAACCCAACATAGGACCATTACACATTTTACTTTATAAGAGACATTTTTTCTCAAGAGCATTTCCATTATGAAATAGAAGGGTTGCCACCCCGTGTTCAGCATGCAGCTAAGGTTGTACACCATGATTTAGGCTGATAAAACTATCAGGAAAGTTGACAACTAGAGCTCAGTCAAAAATGTTTACTCCAGGAGAAGGTATCCAGGTTGTAGCTGTACTGGTTTAGAGGCAAAAGGTATTAAAACTTGTGGAAGAGACAATATCTTTTATTAAACGAACTGGATATTTGCAAACAAATTATTTTATAATAAATATAATAATTTATACTTATAAAATAATTTGTTTGTGAATATCTAGTTGGTCTAATAAAGGTATCACCTCTTCCATGAGTTTTGATTTCTACTCCAGGATAACTCACTTAAGTCCAACTCTGACACTTAATAGACATGATTATGCAAGAGGCAAGGATTTTTTAGGGTGAAATTTTTTATTGGACCAACTGTGTACTTGGGATAGTTAGACAAGCTTTTGCATGCATGACGTTCTGATCAGACTTGATGAAGAATGAGCCAGGTACTACTCATTCTTTACTAGGCGGTGCCTGGCTGGGTTTTATCTGGGGTAGGCAAAATGGCAAATCCACCAGTGGCCAGATGCCATTTTCCAGCAGCCCCAGCTCCTGGCCAGTCTCTGTGGAGACCCCAGGACTGCAAGGTCATGACAGCACGAGGCTGCACGGCCACAGATCCGAGGCTCTGCCTCAGCCCGGCCCCACACTGTCAAGGACCTGCACTCCTGGGGATCCTATGGAGACCGGCCCGGAACAGCACAAGCAGGGCACACAGCTGGGAGGGGACATGCTTTGCAGCCAGGATCTTGCAGCAGTGACAACGTGGGACAGGGCCCGGGAAGAACCATAATCCACTGCCTGCACCCCCCTGCCCAAGGAACCTGTACTCATCAGAGGGGCACGTGGGCAGAGGATTGTGGATCTGCCCCAGCCCCATCCCGTGCTGTCACTGCTGCAAGATCCTGAGCCTGGCCCCAGAGCAGCCCCCTGCCTAGCTACGTGCCCTGCCCACAGGGCTCCTGGCCAGTCTCCATGGAGACCCCAGGAACACAGGGGCATGACAATGCAGGGCCAAGCCACGCTGGGGCAGAGCCCTGGTTCTGCGGCCCTGCGCTGTCACACCCCATGCTCCCGCAGTCTCCCTGGAGACCAGCTGGGGCTGGTGGGAAACAGAGTCTGCTGCCGGCCCAATCCGGCCTGTGGCCGAGACTTTGCCCACCCCGATCTAATCATACCTGGCAAAGACTGTCTTGAATTCAAAAGCTTGTTTAACTCTTTCCCAACTAAACAGCTGGCCCAGTAAAAGATACCACACTAACAAATCCTTGCCTCTCACTTAAAATAGAAACAGAATGACAAACACTGGCTAGCAGTTATATAATTCACCAACTAAAAAATGTGAGATAGAATTTTTTTTTTCAGTAGTGTTGGATTACTGATACTGGATAGCAGCGTAGGAAAATTAGACCATTGGAAAATTAGACCAAAAAGAAAAAAAAAGCCCCTAAACAAACCAATCTTCCTAGCCCCTATGGGTGACCAGCAAAATCATGGAAGCAAGAAACTACCATTTGAGTCACTGTTTGTTGCTTTAGCCCTGCTCCTTAATTTAACCATGTTAACCATTCTTCAGGCATATACAATCAATATTTTTCATGGTGTTTTACTCAAACATTTTTTCAGCAAGACTATTATGAATTCATCACTAAAGCTACAGCTTGCTGTCATAGCCACTGGTTGCTTGGAGAATCTATAAACGATTCCTGTAACTACATTGTGAAATGGATAGCCAGAACTACTCTCTTAAAGTTGCACATTTTTTAAAAGTTTTAATCCCAAAAGCAAAAACCTAATTTTGTATAATTTAAATTGCTCACTGTTTTCGACAATCTGTGAATACCTGAACTATTTCCAAGAAGTTACAAGGCCTGGCGCCTCAAATTCAACCTTATGAGTTTTTAACTTGGGTCTTGATTCATTGATTCTCTCCTGTACTTCAGGAATTAGAACAGCTTCTGAAGATAATAGCTTTTTTATTGCAATGCATTGGGAAAGAGTGAGGTTGCTTTCGAGATTCCAAAAATTAATTCAAAGAGAAGAAAAAGGAAAATCTTTATGGAGTATCAAGTCTTAATCGTATACCAACAACTCAATGACTAGTAGTTGCCAATTGTCTCATAAAAGATAGGATAAGAAACGATAGTTGAAATGACATAAAAACAAATTAATTACAGACCAATAATCTAATAGCCATGGTATCATGCAAGAGAGTGAAATAGAGTCCACTCTGACATTTTCTTCCCTAACCAGCAGAAAGTGTACCATCTGTCAGATCACTTTCAGTGCTAGCACCAATATCTACTCCACACGGCAACAATGTAGTTTCTGTTTAGATAAAGTAATACATATAAAATTACAAAAGAAAGAATCACAAAAGAAACTATCTAACAAGAACAGAAGGCAATTTGTAGCAAAAACAAGCTGCCATATATATAATGGGGCATTTGCCATATATAAATTAAATCCCCAAACAATCATAAATTTGGAAAAAAAAAAATCAAAGATGAAACAACTTCCTAGAACAAGTTTTCCCAGCATTGCTGGTTCAGAGGCCCTCCTTTCTGTTGACAAACTGTGCAATGTCAGGTATGTTAGCTTGTTTTCCAATCTGTAGTATTCCCAGGTTAGAAACACGACCATCTGCCATCTTAGTCCTCAGG